TGAACACAGCCAAGCTCTGCGGAAAGTGATTAATTTCTTGAAAACACTCAGGCCACACTAACTGACATGACCTGTGTAATTAAGCAGTCTCTGTTTACATACCAGAAACCCAGCTGCTGTGAGGCTGAGTTTGCTTGACAGAATGTCTTTACATGTCAGGGGATCAACAACCTTTCTTGTGTCCTTCTCAGTCACCTACACAGGCCCCTGATTGCTGTTCAGAAGAGACATACTCTGCCATTGCTGTGTGAAGATCGGGCTGGCCTGGAAAGCATGCAGAAGGGGATGGAACAGACGTGGTGACAGTGACAGCTGGAGAGAGCCACTTAATAGGCAGGGGAGAGTGTTTCCCATCAGGCGTCTCAGGCCTCGGGCTTGAAAGAGTAGGCCCCCGGTTTTTCATGCCAACAAAGACACTGTCTCATTCCCCCTCAAAGGCAATACGGACATAAAAATATTTGAAACCAGCTTCCCAGTTCATACACTATGAGGGAAATCGTGGAAATATATACCCTTTTCATAAGACGTCTTCAGTCGATGTCACTAGGACGCACAAGAAAGCTTTGGGGGAAAACTTCCTCCCACTTTTGGGTCAGTTCTCAGACTAGGAACCTCAGTATGATTTTTTTTTCCAGTTCTAGAGACTGAAACCAGGGCCTTGGCATCGAGCTACATTTCCAGAACTCTCTATTTATTGATTTATTGTATTTTGAAACAGGGTCTCACGAAATCACTAAGTTGCCCAGGCCAGGCTGGAACTTGTAATGTTCCTGCCTCAGCCTCCCAGAGTGGTGGGATTACAGGTGTGCACCATTATGCACAGCTCTAGTATGATCTCCTAACAGGGTGCTCTGCGGTGTCTGTGGGCTGCTCAATCCTGCCCCACGTAAGGAAATGGAAATTCTCGCCCCAAGGAACTTCCCAAACCTCCCTGGGTGAAGTGAAGCCCCGGCTGCCTGCTGAAGAGGAGCCACTTTATTCAAAGTTCCTCAGGTACAAACTGACAGCTTGGCTACTCTGCTCTGGAGCAGTGCTTGGGCCAGTTCCCTTCCACCTAACCCCAGCCCGCCTGACGAACGTCGGTGGTGTGTCACTGCTCTTGAGGGCTTTCCCGTGACTCCGGAGCTTTTGCTAAAGGAGTCTCTATGACAGTCCGGTGTTAAGAGCTCTTCTTACTGCTCCCCTGTGTACCTGCCCACAGACTCTGGACAGTTTCTTTATTGTCCTGAGGTGTTAGTATCTGAGTCAGACTGCCTGGGTTAAATTACTTAAATCATGGCCTCATCACCTAGTAGATGTGTGACTTTGAGCGGATGATTAACTGCAGTAAGTCTGTTTCCTCATTTATAAAATGGCAATGATCCATATTTGCATGTTTTTAAGAGGGATACTGTGAGGATAAATGCAATTCATGTAAAACCATTCTCACAATGCCTCTCACAGGGTAAGCACGCAGTAAATGTTACCTGTACCATCATCATCACCACTAATATCCTTGGGTATACAGACAGGTGGACACATAATGTGTGTATGTGCACACACAATTACGGAATCTGAACGTAGACACTGATATAAACAATCATCTGTCCTGCATTTAATGGAATTAGAAAGAAACCAATGCAGTGAACCAGGGAGCAGAGGAGGAGATAGCAGCTTAATGTAAAAGAAAAACATGAGAATGACAATGAATTCTGTCTGGGACTTCCGAGATGAGGTTTCTGGAGTTGTGAAACAGGCATTTGGGCAACTAGACCTGAACCTTGGAGACCCACATCGCAGAATTCTCAGCAGTGGCACAGTGATGCAAGAGCAGAGAAGATATTCAGGAGAGAAGAGATCTCCATGCGTGAAGGAAAGGTGAGAAACGCCAATATTCACAGGGTGAAAGACAAACACATCCTGAGGGGGAGGAGGTGAGAATGAGTGAATGGGATCATAAAATCCACAAAGAAAAAGGATCCCAGAAGGGCGGAACAGCCAGCAGCATGAAATGATGCAGTGGAAGATGGCAGTAAACAGTCATGAAAGAAAAAAGGCTGGAAAAAAATTAAAAGACTTGGTAAGGGATACTTGAGTTTGGTTCAACTTCTCAAATCAATTCATCCACTTCTGGTTGCACAAATGCCCATGTGCCTACCCACAGGAGACCAAGTGTTAACTGCATAGAAATTATGACAGAAATGTGTGTGTGCAGCAATGCAATATCAAATGACTGTTCATCTTCCCACAGGGTTAATCCGTCCTCTCCTGGAGATAGTGAGTAGGTGACGGGTATAAGGCAGGATAAACTTGAGATCCAGTAAAGAGTTTGTCATCCCTGATAGAGATGTACCTCTTCTGCAACTCAAAAACAGGCTTTGTGGTAGCCAAAGTAGCTGTCCCTATTGAGAAAATTTTTGGAATTGTTGAGAATTGCAGGCATCATCAGGGTTCAGATAAATCCCATCAGTATGATGATCATTCTGTACCTTATGACGGGCAGTCCTCATACTAATCAAAGGTTCCACTCTGGGGATGCTAACAACACTGTCACCAGGTATGATACAGAACCAGAGGTTCTCAATCAGAGGCAGTTTTGTTTGTTTTCTCCATAAGGAAATATTTAGCAATGCACAGAGACATTTCGGGTTGTCATGGCAGGGAAGAGGGGGTGTTCTCTACTGCTGTCTACTGGGTAGATACCAGTGACACTAACAGACAGGACAAAAAAAGCCCCAAGATTATTCAGTCTGAAATGTCATGAGAAATACTGAGAAACCCTAGTATGAATTAATGACCTTTCTTCAGTCTACCACAAGGATTTTTCTCCAAAAGCTTATATTTTTATTTTATCTTTTACAAATTACTTCTATACTCATTCAAAATGCTCTCTCTTTACAAGTAATGAAATAATCATAATTCTACAGTGGTATCTCAGTTCACACACTTAATTCTTTCCATGATTCTGGAAATCATTAATTCTGGAAAGAATTAAGTTTGTGAATCCACATACCACTCTATCTTCATTTTAAAGTGGAAGAATTTAAGGCCCTAAAAGATTACATGACCTTTCAGAAATTCAACTTGTGCATCCTTATTTTAGTAGTCCTTCTGCTAAGCAAAGAATAATATTTATGTGCAAAATTAAAACTTTCTAGACACTCTAAGAGCTATATTCCTAGAACCCAAGACTTTCAAATATCTTACTAAATCTCAAAGAAATCTATACAAATTTCATTTAGGTTCCTGATGTCACCAAAGCACATCTCAATTCTACTGCTCCGAGAGGCACAGTAAAGTTGATCCTGGCATTCATGAGGCATTAGACATGTTTACTAGGTATAAATTGTTTCATGCCTGGATATGCTTAGCTCCTGTCCCAAACTTGGCCACAAGAGAATGATGGCTCATCTTAAGACCAAGCAAGCCATAAAACAGTGTATACTAAAACCTAACTCATGTCGTAAGACTCTTAGCAACACAGACGCAGTAGCATTGCATATGTGGCTTTACCAGCTTACTTGCAAAGCTGACCCCCACCCATAACAAAGTCCTGGGGGTGGGGTAAGAGCACCTATGTTTACAAAGTTGGGATTAGGAGCTGGCTAACAGAAACATTTTCTGAAAATGAGAAATGTCCAAGTTCTCCCTGCTTACTTCTGTTAAAAGGGAGGGAGGCCAAGAGGATATTTCCAAAAACACCTGAGAAACCCAAGAGATATGGTCTTTTTCCCATTGAATTTGTTCCTTAATAAAGCTAATGTCTCATCTCTTTTTACAAAATCACTCAGGAGACTACGTGCAGCTACACTTTTTCAAGAGCCTCTCAGAGATCATACACTGCAATCTGCACTTAAAGCTGACTAAACAGACCTAAGGAGCACACTTTTGTTTATGCTTTTTGTTGTTTTTTGAGACAGGGTCTCACTATGTAGTTGAAACTGACCTGGAACTCACTATGTAGCCCAGGCTGGTCTTGAACTCACAGTGATCCTCCTGCCTCAGCCTGCCGAGTGCTGGGATTACAGGCATGCACCACCAGGCCCGGCTATAAGGAGCACACTTTAAGCACCACGCTATTGCTCTGATGAACTGTACGAGTATACATCTATGGGTCATTACTCTGATGGGGAAACTAACATTGACCATGCAAATAAGTTAGCCATAAAATTAGATGGAGAGTGACATAAGGGTCTATAACTTTGCTGTTCAAAGTGTGGCCCATGGCTCTGCCATCACTTGGTAGCTTGTTAGAAATTTCAGTCCTACCATAGGCTTCAATCAGTATTTTAGTAAGATCCCCAGGGGGTTCTCAGCACCTTAAGTTAGAGAGGTACAGCGTCTAGAATTCAACAATCTCTCCTAAAACCCACACATATTTTGTGTTAGCACATCTGTTTTGGGTCTTCGTCCTTCTGTAAAGGTACAATTCTGTGGTGTTAATATACCATTGTGCTGTAAATGGTGACAGGCCCAGGAACACTTCTAGATGCTGTGTAAGAGCGTTTCTGAAAGAGAAGTGAGGGTCACCCACACCACTATAGACAAGCTCTATTCTTAGGGAGTCCACTTAGAATAGGCATTTACAGCTACTACCAACTTCCAAGAGTGTAAGCGGGGAGCAGAACGAAAAATAAGGGGCAATAGTTTATCTTTTTAAATTTTAACAGTTTTACTCTTACATATTAGTGTTCTGGTTACAGAAATTTTAGGAAAGAATTCATCATTTTATCTACATTACTGAAGTGGGTGTTCATGCAAGTGAGTCCATTCAGGAAGACACAACTGGACTCCTAGGACATTTATGTCTGCACCAGAGAACACAGGTGGTTCAGGCCCAATTCCTGGTGAATAAAGACAAAAAACTCCTAGAGGGCAGATGCCCAGTGAAGCAAGTGCCTCCCCTGCTCTTCACCTCTGGGGAAACATCGGAATGTCACCTGCTCTTCTGCCTAAAACTTTACCCCCTCTCCTGATACACATGTCATTGTTGAGATTTAAGAAGGACCAGGTTGACCCACCTGGAATCTCCGCATGTCACGTGGATTTCCTGCATTCTTTAGGCAATTTTGGTTGCATTTGAGGAAAAACTTCAAGAAGAACCTGTCAAGAAACAAATGATTACTGTTAACATTTCAGTCTTCATGCAGGAGGTATCAAATCAGGAAGTTACTTCTGAGTTGTGTGTTTTGTTCTCTTTAAGCATTTGTTGAAATATTCACAATGGTGTAGATCAGGTATTTTGTTTGAGGTCTTAGACTATGTTTTCCATCCAAGATGGAACTTCTTTATGAAGAAATATTCTTGAAACTGCCAGCAGAACTCACAAAAATGTAAGCCTCCGAGGAAAGGGAAGATCACCACAGTGTAAGAGAGATTTCAATTGGCTCTAATTGTTTAAGAAACCTCAGGGTCCCCAAACAGAACATGTAATTTCAGCCCTCCAAATTCACAGGTGATATATGCTTGATGAATACAAAGACATGATGAACACTTTTTTATCTTAGCATCTCCAAATAAAATGTTGTAATTAGTTAGTAGTCCTCAGGAGAAGTAAGTAGGATTCACAAGTTAACTAAATCTCTTTGACTGCTCAAATATTTTCTAGATGTTTTTACTAGATTTCTTGCTGTAGATAAAAGCTTTTTGTGATGCATTAAGAATCTTGCTGCCCCACTGAAACCCCAATGGTTTCTAAATTGGTTCTATAATGATATAAACAGGTTTTATCTGCTAAAGTGACCAAAGGTTCCAATTTCACATACACACACACACACACAACTTCTAGCTGCACTCATATAGGTATTAATAGTACCTACTTTAACTCAAAAATGTCTTGGTATCAGTGATAAGTTATAACTTTCTGAGTTATTTCTTAAGTAGCTATTGTACTTGTCAAAGACCATCTTAGAAAGATGGCAATTATTAAAGCTATCATGTGTGGTGGCACATGCCCACAATTTCAGCATTTGGGGAGACTAAGGCAGAGAGTCCAAAATTTGAGCTTAGCCCAGGCAACTTCGGAACTTGGCAAGACCCTATCTCAAAATTAAAAAAAAAAAGAGAGAGAAAGAGAGAGAGAAGGCCAAGGATACAGCCTATTGCAAAGGCCTTGGATTCAATCTGTAATATTGGGGAAAAAAGATTAAGGTATTCATGTTAACGTACTCATACTGGCTACCTACAGTTAAACCCCTCGAATGTTTTTTTGTGTGGCAGTTTTTAAAATAATGATTTTGAAGGACATATAAATTCTATGATTTCTTTTATGTTATAGCCCTATGGATTTCCAGTCTTAATTTCTGCCAGAAATAACAGAATGCATTAAAATGTTAGTCAATTAAATTTTTGTATGAATTATCTTTCCTTCAGCTTGACCCCTGCCCCTTTCAGGTCTGTACTGGTGTAAAATTTTCATTCAATTCAAGTAACTTGTGAAGAACTCTGTTATGGCTTATGTCTAGATGTCTCCCTAAAGCACCCTGTGGTCATAAGGTCATAGGTGGAGCTTTTCAGAGATGGCTGGATCTAGAGAATGTGAGGCTGGGATTAAGCACGTGATACTGATATTGATCCCTGGTGTGATGCTAGGATTAAGGGTACCCCACCTTGGGTGCAAGCACTGCCTGACCTAAATGTGGGTAGCCTGGATACAATATAACGGACACAAAGAAGGCTACTGTCATTGCTTGTTGCATGCCACTTACTACTTTACTGCTTTGCTGACTTCTGCCTAATATGAACTGTTTCTCCTCTGCGATGCCCCTCTGCCATGCCACCCTGCCTTGGAGCCAGCCAATGATGAGCTGAAACCTCTATAAATTACAAGTCAAACAAACCTTTCCTACTTTTACTTTGGGAACCAGGTATTTTGTCTTAGCAATGAGAAAACTAACTAAGAGAAATTCTCACTCCATGATTCCTCCAACTGACTTTTTCCCTGAGCACAAAGTCAACCACGTTGGTCCCCTCTAAGAACATCACACAAAACACACCAAGTATTTCTGAATACTAATATGAGAAAAGTCCCAGAGTAACTTCTTTCCTGCTTGATTCCTTTGAATCTGCCAAGATGGAAGTGTAGTTTGGGAATAATTTTTCAAAGGGAAAAACATGACTTTTCAGCCAAAAAAGTGTGATTGTAAAGTGGAAACATCCAACTAGAATGACTCAACGTTAAGCAACCTAAACAACCCATCAATGAAAGGACTCTGAATAATCACTGGCCCCACTTCTGGGTGCTCTCCACAGAGAATAAAGCTATCAACTTTTTATCAAAGCTAAATGATTCAGGGATGCTGCTTAAGCTCAGCTCTGGGCCCCTTTCCCAGGGCCAGGAGCCACACTGCCACTGCACAGGCTGACTAATAGCCACTGACTTAGGTCCTCCCTCAGTAGCATTGACTTTGGAAATGAAAAAAGATCGAAGGTGTGATCAGACCTTACCACCTGGCATTGCCCCATTCCTCTGAGCTCTGAGAAGAGGATGCTGCTGGTCACACATAGCTGTTAGAAACTATGAGGGCCAGTGATTTAGCTCAGTGGTTCGGTGGCCTGCCTTGCAAGTGCAAGGACCCGAGTTCAAGTCCCAGTACCAAAAAAAAAGAAACTATGTAACATGGCAGAGCTGGCAGTAGTAAGTCCCCCCTACTACTGAGGCTCCATTCTGTGTACAAAGATAGCTGAGATGTGAAGGCTAGTTGCTTCTTTCAAGTACAGCTGGTTAAAAGGGCATATCTGAAAGACACCCAAGTCCCAGACAGGACTGATCATCACTAAATAGACAATGTGAGTTGATGTGGTATGGTGGAGAAGCCACCACATTTAGAAATACCCGAAACAGAATTCAAACCCTGACTCTGCCAGGGGCTACCAGTGTGATTTTGCAGATGGAACTGAACCTTGATTTTCTTATCTATAAAATGAGTACAATAAGAATGTCTGCCTTACAAGGCAATGGTGAAAATGAACGAGATAATGTACCTAACAGGACAAGCGTGGCGATGGTGGCCATGGTAAAGGGCTGCACAGATTAGGTGCTTACCATGTGCTCAGTACAGCACTAAACATTTCAAGCATGTCTTTCCTTTAAATCCTTATATGACCCTTTACCATCAGTCTATTTCGCAGATGAGAACACAGAGTCAGAGAAGCTAATACTGTAACTTGCCCAAAGGTGAGTAAACACAAATCTAGAATTCATATTCAAACAGGGCAGCTCCAGAGGCTGTGGTCTTAAGCACCATGCCACCAACGGTATTAGTAAAAATAGAAAGCAGTGCAGTAATGTTATTAATACGAATTGCACCATTGATAGCAATCGTACTGTAACAGCAATTGTACTAACAGAGCACTTAAAAGTCATGATGCTACTATGAGGTATGATTAACATGTGAATTTCCTCAACAGCAATGTGAACATTACAGTGGGGGGCGCACACTACCACCTTCCCTCTAGTGAGCCCCCATACTCACCCCAGCTTCCCTGGAGTTGATAATATTTGCCGCCTGTGTGTTTACGCCTTTTGAGCCAGACCCTACAGCCAGATTCAGGTTGCATTAGAAGGACCTGTCAGCACCCCCTCTGGCATCTTCAGTTCAGACAACTGCTAGCAACCATGAGGGGGTCCATCTGGTGCCAAAATGGATTTTGAAAGACAGGCAAACAGGATACTAGCTCTGCCAGGGAGAAACAGAATCAAGGGAGCAGGGGATCTTCTGTGTCAGAGATGAGCAGGGGCAAGGCGCCTGTCAGCAGCCCATCGTTAGCACAAAAGCTATGCCCGGCACACACCAGATCCCCGTTACCCTAAGCCGCCCGGCCACTTGGCCTGCTGGCAGACTCCCCCGCCCATCCCCTCGGCAGCGGATCACTTGCTGAAACTGAAGTCTTGACCATCTGTCGTGAGCAAGACACAGCCGTCAACTGGTGCCTGGGGCCTCACACAAGCCCTTATGTGGCAAACGCTCTGAAGAGCCAATTCTTTTGGGGAAAGCCAGTCCTATCCCAGGGAGAGCCTAGGAATTCTCTCAAAGTTTTCCTCTACGTAGAAGCCAAGTGTCTGACCCCTTCGGATCACACTTCCTTAAAGGAACTGTGAAGAGTTAGGAGGAGTTAAAAATATCCTCCCTGAGAGGCAGGGTTATAGACAGCACACAAATTTGGGGGATGATTTGTGAGGCTAAATGTATAAGGCATTTGTAAACCCACGCCGTGCATGTCTGCATGGCTACAGAGAAGATCTCAGGTTCTGAAGGGGCTTTAACAAAGTAGAGGTTATTGTAACTCAAAACCTCACTTTTGTCTAAAGAATTACCACATTTTGTGGGGTGGTTCTGTTTGATAGAGTGTTTTCAGGAGACAGAGTGTGGCCATCTAAACCCTTCTGGGGGAAACTGACCCACAAGCGGACAAAGCCTCTATTGACCCTGAAGAGTTCCACGGAGTTCCACAAACTCCAGGACACAGCCCAACGGGGACCAAACTTCCTTTTAACTCTTTTTTTTAAGGGGTTCTGGGGTAGGTGGTGAGAAACCCAACACCTTTCTGTTAACTTTCAATATGAATAATATCTGTGTTCGTGCAATGTGTTATTATTCAAAGCACTTAAATCCCCAATATCTCATTGAATCCTCATAGAAGTCCTATAAATCAGGCATGCCAGGAATTATTAGATATATTTAAAAGGCAAGACCTCAAAGACTCAACAAAATGAAGGGATTTACGGACAGTCAAAAACTAATCTCCTAGGTTACCAATAAGACTAGTCATGGTATAAGTTCTCCATGAATCACAGGAGTTTATAAGTGACCTCAGCCACTTAATCTAACTGCAGCATTTTATATAAGAAAAATGAGAGATCTGGAGATACAAAAATGTTCACATAGTTAATAAAGGTTATGAGAGCTAGAGCTATAATCCACATGCCCTGGTGTCCAGTTATGTGATTTTTCCAACATGAGGTTAGTTTCTCAAAAGCCAATCCAATAAGAGTTCAACACTTCAGCTCCTGAACTTTTGAATCTACTGCTTCAATTAAGGAAAGTGACAGTCATAAAACCAAAAGCGTCATCCTATTAAAAGTTGAGTTTAGGTTCATCAAT